AGTCAGGACTTCAACATTTTACCCCTAACATTAATTGAAGAACAGTACTTTGTTGTGGGAGACGTCCTGTACATGGCAGGATGTTCAGAGGCATCTCTGTCCTCCATCCACTAGAGGTCAGTAGCATGCTAACACTTACTCAGTTTGGACATCCCCAAAACATCTCCAGACATTGTCCAATGACCAGGTCTTCCACTTCTTTTGCTTCACACTTTGTAACAATATCTATTCAACCTCTACTTCAAACATTAAAGTAATAGCAAGTATTTCTAAGTAATAGCAAAATGTCTATAGAGTTACAGACCCTTTAAGGTCAATAGTTCAGTCTACTCTCCAACCAAATTTACTTCTCCATCTCTTCTTGATAAGTGAGTTTTTCTTTTCTTTTCTTGGGATTTACAACTCATTTCTTTCTTAGGCTGTATCCACTTACTCAAAACTGAAACCTTAGATTCTCTCTACACTATCTATAGAAGTTGACTCCAAATCTGTTTTCTCTTCCTTCCTGTTTCTCTAGCCTAAACTCAGCTCATTTTATTGAAGTGACATTTCCATATCTCTAGTCAGTCCTTTTATTGGTCTAGCCTCACCATTTTTTCCCTTTAAAATTCTACCCTGCTTATATATCTCTGGAACTTGCGATTGTCTGAACTGCAATGTGTTGCATAAAATGTTCACAACCAGGATGCAGGGCAGCACTCATTTTCCATTTTTATTTTGAGTTCCCAGCATTCTGGCTACAGCCTCCTAGTCATGCACTAACATGTTCCCAGTGTCTCTCAGTCAGGCCCTGGTCAGAAAACTGAAAGCATATTTCAACATAGAATATATATAAAAGGAACTGGGAAAACAAATACTTGACAGTCTTAAAATGAGAACAGAACACTGAAGTAACTTTTATGTCACAACTGCTCCTGTAGGTAGGAACTATGATTCTGGGGCTCAGAAAGGGAAGAGACTGGAGTTTTCAGAAATGAATGTTTGGATGAGAAACCTTCAGAACCTCCACAGAGGGTCAATCCAGGCTACTGCCTATAGCAGCCCTTGTAACTGGTCTCAAAACTAGAAAAGAGATGCGCCCAGAGTATACAGAAACTTCCAAGGGTGAGTTGAGACTAGTTTTGGAGAAAGCTGAGTGCTGCAATCCAATGAGCAATACTGTTAACAAGAGCCATCAAACAGGACCAAAGACACTTATTGCTTCTCTCTTTCCTCATTGGCAGAATCCAGTAGATAACCTGAAGTTTCAGCATCAGAAGGCTGAAAATAGTCCAAAGCCAATCATTCCTTCACATCTCCTTGCTGCTACTTATAGTTTCTCCATCCATAATGCTCTTTCTCCCAATGTCTGCCTGATACACACCTTTTATCCCTAACCTTTTTCAAAGCAATTATTTATACCATTTATGTTCACAAATGTTTCCTTTAGATTTCTTTCATATGTTTGTTTGTTTGTTTTACACCAAACTATGAGCCCCTTTAAGGCAGTTAGACTTACAAGCACAAGTTAAAAGTTCTAGCAAGATGACCACCACAAAGCAGATGTTGGTTGAATTGGATGGAAACAATAAAGATATTTTAAAGAAATTCATATAAGAGGGCTGGGAAGGTAGCTCAGTGGTAGAGTGCTTGCCTTGCATGCATGAGGCCCTAGGTTCGATTCCTCAGTATCACATAAACAGAAAAGGCTAGAAGTGGTGCTGTGGCTCAAATAGTAGAGCCCTAGCCTTGTGCTGAAATGGTGAAGGACAGCATCCAGGCCCAAAGTTCAGGCCCCACGACCGACAGAAAATAAATAAATAAGTAAATTCATAGAAGAACATTACATATATGTTGTCCTCTCAACTGAATTAGAACCTATATGGGAAGAGATAATGTTTTATACATCTTTTATTTTCATCATGGTAGGTAGTATAAGGTTTTATATGATGACAATAAGTCGAATGATTAACTACCTACTTACTTTGGTTTTTAACACAAATTTGGTACAAAATGACCTAGAGATAAGGCATGATATTATAAATATCAGGCAAGACCTGTGTCTGGATTTAAATCTACTTCTAGCCTACGATGCCAGCAATTAGTACTCTCCACAAGCTAAAGTTCTGTGTTTGTTGAACCATAATAGGAAAATACAAGCAAGAGACCAAATATAATACAATTTTATAGTCAATCATAAACTAGTGAGATATAGTCCAGATTTCTTTTTTTTTTTTTACTATTTATATCTGACAGAAAATATATTCTTCCAATCCATAGGGTAATTAATCCTGGGCCACATCTGTTCCTTGTACATTTATTAAATTTCTCATGGCCATTAAAATCAAGTAGCAGTTTATTTAAATGTAAGAAAGGTATTGAATTTTAACTTAATCACTAGCTTCTCAAAAAAAAAGAAAAAGAAAAGAATCTTCTGTTCAACAACTGATTTACATTCAGGTCCAAGAGGAAGAAAAATCGCTTTTAAAAAAAGAGGGGAGTGATATTTAATTAACTATTGATTTCTTCTCAATTATTCAAGGCAAGCAATTATCGATATTGATGGAACAGATATTTCCCTACCTCTGGTGCCCAAATGGAAGGAAATATCCCATTCTACAATCTGCTGCCTACCACAGGAAATGCTGAGAATCTTTAACTTGAAATGGAAACAATTATTTGGATCTGTTCAGTCCATGTTGCTCCAATTAAACAGATATTTCGTAAAGTGAAAGCAAAACAAAAATCCTGAAAACTGTTATGCCTTGCAGATTAACCACAACCAGAATACCAGGGCAGTTCTTAAATTTTATCCAAGAGGTTAATCATTTTGTACTCGGGAATTTTACCTCACAACTATAGATCTTGACATGTTTAACAGCTACTCATAAAATACCATAATTTGGGTCTAATATTTATGGTTTGTAAGACACCTCAAAGAGCAGTAGCTCATACAATCATCAGAAATCACAGAACGCTACCTGGTATATCACCATTTTGAGCCAGAGGGATATGGTAGCCTTTGCAAGGCACGCCCTTTGTTCCCTTCTTTTTTCTTTCTTATCTTTAAGTAGTTGTTCAAAGGGATTTCAATTTAACATGTCAGTTTATGAGTACAATGCATCTTGATCAATGTCACCCCTTCCATTGTTCTCCTCCATCTCTCTCAATCCAACCCATCCCTTCAAGTTACCTGTGTGGGGGCAGGGGCAGGGAGGGTTGGCTTTCACACATATGTACATTGAATGTCTTAGATGCTTCTGAAAATTACATACGGGTACTATTATGCAGTTGTCTCAAACATCACCAAGGGAGGGTCAAAGAAGGTGGTCACATAGGACCCTGGTCAGGGTATCTGTTTCAGGGCATTAACTCTAAGGACTTCTTTGCCACCATCTTTTCTGGTCTCATTTATCTACATACAGAGCATTAGCACGTATGTGTGGAAAATGCTTCTTGTAAAGGTGACATGAATACTGAATATGATTAATGAGCAACACTCTCCAGTTATTAATGGAAGAATGATTCTTTTTTTAAGTAGCTGATATTTAATAGCATTTGAGTGTGAATGTGTGTGTGTGTGTGTGCAATTTATGTGGCATCTCTGCAGACATTTGACCATAACATTTTTCTTTACATGAAATATATACATATATATATAATATTAATAAAAAGCTACTTTTTCTGCTCTGCTTCCCAACACCCTGCCAGTCCAGAGTGGTCTATATGTTAAATGCTTAAATAGTATATGTTGCTGGGAGAAAAAAAAATGTTCTTGGCTCTTTTACTGTCTGTTGTTCGTTAATTTCCCTGGGTTCTATTTAATGTTGTGCTAAATCAGTGAAACCTGATTACCTAAAAAGAACAAGAGACATGGAATTAATGAGAATAACCAGAATTCTAAAGATGAGACCCCCCCCAACCCGGAAAAAAAATGTATTAGAGGTGAAAGGTACCTGACAAAGACTCTGTGTGAAATTCAAGTCTCCAACAGCTGAACTTGGTTTAATTGGATTCTAATTCATTGATGGATATAATGAAAAAATTGGTAATCAGGATTTCACCATCACCTTCATTACCATCCCCCCAGAAATCAAGGTGACCTTGGGCTCTATTTCCCATATTTCAAGGGAATCAAAGTCGTCATGGACAGGAACAAAGGTGACCGTTCCTCCTCACACTCTTCCCTGGTGGAACAAGCTTTGTCCCTCTTCCCATCTGGCTGGTGCCTGTCTACAGCATGCAACCGTTCCCCACCCCAGCTCCCCACCCCAGCCCTGTCTGCATGTGCAGAGAGAATGGTCCTTTGCGTAGAGGTTCTTGGTCTTTTTTATTATGATTATGATTATTCTTTTCCACAATGCTGCTTTGCATTCTAAATGCCGCACGTTTGGCTTCAAAGCTCTACATTCTCACATCAGACTCTTTGTCCTTTAAAGAGAGAGAGAGAGAGAGAGAAGGAAGGAAGGAAAGAAAGAAAGGAAGGAAAGAAAGGAAGGAAGGAAGGAAAAAAGAAAGAAAAAAAGGAATGAAAGAAAGAAAGAAGGAAAGAAAGGAAGGAAGGAAGGAAGGGAGGGAGGGAAGGAAGGAGGAAAGGAAGGAAGGAAAGAAGAAGGAAAGGAAGGAAGGAAGGAAGAAAGAAAAAAACAGACAGACTGGGAGTTCCCAACAGGTCTCAAATCCATGACCCGGAGTATTGCATTACTTTGTCTTTGATAGCCTCAATTGGACAAAGATAATATCCAAGATTGCACCAAAAATCTATATGAAAAGGACTCATGCAATCAAAAACAAAGGCGGCAAACGGTTATTTGTATGGAAATTGGAGTCACATGCTTAGTTAGTGGCTGGGAGAAGGGGCGGGAGAGCACAAGATCGATCAAGGTGTGTGTGTGTGTGCACACGCGTGTGTGTGTGTGTTAAGCTGAAAACACGGTGTACCCGATGAACTGAAATTGATTCTGCTCTTCTCCTCCCCGCCCCACCCCACCCACCCCGAACCCCTTCCCTGCACTCTGCAGCGAATGTCTGCGACAACGAACTCCTACATTGCCAGAATGGAGGGACCTGCCACAACAACGTGCGCTGCCTGTGTCCGGCCGCCTACACGGGCATCCTGTGTGAAAAACTGCGGTGCGAAGAGGCCGGCGGCTGCAGCTCCGACTCAGGCCAGGGGCCAACCCCAAAGGGTTCTGTAGCTCTGCTGCTGCCCCTGTTTCTGACCTCTCTGCTCCTGGGAACAGCCAGCTCCCCAGGATTCTAGGCCTAGCATCCAGCCAGCGGACAAGGACAGGCTTGTGCCCTGGGGAAAAGCAACCACCACTCAAGCATTTGCTACAAACCTAGAAAACACCACACAGACACACATATGCACACTCGCACAGTGTATTCAGACTACGAAGGCCTAACTGAACTAAGCCATAGCTGTCAGATGTGGGCAGCCCTTGGGAGTCAAGACTCGTTCATTTTTGACTCCAGAAGAGTTGACAGCTGTTGATTTGATCACTACAAAAAAACAAACAAACAAACAAAAAACAATCACATTGCCAGCTGCAAGAGCTTATTTGTGTAGACTGGCAGCACACACCCCTCGCCCCCCCACCCCCACCCCAGCAACAGGAAAGACAAGACAAACAAATCAACCGAGTTACAAACATTTGCTACTCTACTGTGGTGCCCCCCCCTTCTCAGTCCGGCTCTGCCCACTTGTGTGAACCAACCAAATAGAAACATTCTTTGCTGGTCAGGTGCATTGTGGGTTTAAAGGAAATCTGTTACAAGATGTGCAGTCCCAGAACCCCTCCCAAACCTGTGCTTTAGTGAACGTTGCTCTGTAACCCTTGTTGGTTGAAAGATTTCTTTGTCTGATGTTAGTGATGCACCTGTGTAACAACCCCCTGAAAAAGCAGCCAGTCATTCCCCTGTATATCTTAGGGGCACTGAGTCACTCAGTGCCAGCTCACACCCACTACCCAAGAGTGGCTATAGGAGTAAAAAAAGAAAAAAGAAAAAAAAAGAAAGTGTATCTATCCTTTTGTATTCAAATGAAGTTATTTTTCTTGAAATACTGTAATATGTAGATTTTTTGTATTATTGCCAATTTGTGTTACCAATCTGTTAATGTACCGAATTCGAATCAGCAAAGACTGACATTTGATTTTTTTTTGTCTTCCTTCTTTCGTTCTGTTTTATTTCACTGTGCAGAGATTTCTCTGTAAGGGCAACGAACGTGCTGGCATCAAAGAATATCAGTTTACATATAGAACAAGTGTAATAAGATACCACCAAAGGACATTCTAAATGTTTTTTTTTTCTTGTTTGCTTTAACTCTGGAAGATTTAAAGAATAAAAATTCCTGCGTAAAACAATTTCAGGAATTTGTATTGCAATTTCTTGAGATGAAAAGAAGCAGCCACGGAGCAGTTTCACACTCACTTTTCCGATTTTTGTGTGGACTGAACACATTCAACTGATGGATTTGGTACCCAGGAAGATGGATCAATGTTCACTAGTTTGGACAACTTATACAAAATATGGGACTATTTTCCATTTGGAAAAAAAATTATATCAGCAAAAAAAGAAAGAAAAGCAAGAAAGAAGAAAGAAAAGGAAGGAAGGAAGGAAGGAAGGAAGGAAGGAAGGAAGGAAGAAAGAAAGAAAGAAGAGAAAAAGTGATTGCCAAGATTATGCCAAAGCCTATTGGCATACTAAGAGACTTTTATTTTTAAATCATGCTATTTTCTCAGATGGATGGTGATCTGACTCTAGGGACACTGATCTATGTATCTTTCCAAATGCAGTGTTTACATGGAATATCCTAAGAGGCCACCTGGGGAACCAGGAGAGTAGCAGGGAAATTGAATGATTAGCAATTTGACTTTAAATATATTCAGACCAACTATTTAAATGATATATCAAAATATACAGCAGCAAGTAGACATAACTGCTGTTTCTGGAATAAAGTTTGTTTTAAGTACCACCCAAGGTGTAATAAATTCTTGTGTCTGCCTTTTATGAGGCCAATTACTGCCTAAGACAGCAAGGGGGAAGCGGGAGGGGGAGAAGAACCATTGCAAAATTTGGAAAAGGTTTCCACAAGTGTATATTCCAGACCCAGCACCACTGAGGTCCTAACAGGTTACAAATGTGGTAGCAACAGCATCTCTTGGAATCAAAAACAATTACCAGCCCAATCCAGAGTCTAAAGGACCATGGTCTGAAGCCTAGTTCCAGTCCGAATGCTTTTACCCTGCTGCCACTCCTTGCTGAAATGGGGAGTGGGCAGATGACTTCTGATAAATAACCAGAGTCAAAACTAGATGAAAGAACAGTGTGTCTTATTTGTTTCTCTCCCAGAAAAGCCAATTCGAAGAAGGCAATAAAAGGTAAACAGGTAATGTCTGTGCTGCCTGCTATGCCACGTCTAAGTCGATTGAATGTTTGTTATTCAAACCAACAGTCTCTTTTGATAGAAGAAATAAGGAAAGATAGAAATAAATTAAAGCTCTGGCTTAGCATCAGAGTGGCCAACTAGAAATGGGAGATTTACATTAGAAGCATAAACAGAAAATTATATTTCAAGCTCACCAAAGGATATACAGGAAAATGTTGATAGCATACAGCGTTTGAGATTACTAGTAATGAGGTGGATTTCTAATACAAAAATGGAATTTTGGTAGTCTTACAGTTTATTAGCACAAACCAAAGGCAGACTGTGTTATTTCTGGCAGCAATGCACTTTATCACTATCAACTCATGGCTGTGTCACATGCTCAGGAGTCAGACACTGCACAAGTCAAGACTTGGGATTCCAAAAGCTGATTCTCAAATTTAATGAAGGCCTGATCTAACTCAGGTCATCTGCATTTTATCCTGATGAGACAATAAGAATCTCAATGGACGAGAAGTATCTTGCATTTGGTGTATTTAGATATAGTTTTCTGAATTTCCTGAAGTTGATGTGATCTGCTTTTAAATAAAAAATTCACTTTTAGGTATATAACAAATGGAAATGAAATGTTCTCTTTAATCTGGACTCGAATTATTTTAAAAGGCCTTTTCCTTTGAAGAAACCCCAACTCTATGGATTTTATTTATCTGATGCTTTCAAGCATTCTGTTCACTTCACCAATATTATGTTCAGGATTCCAGTGGAAAGGGTACACTAAGTTGTCCTCATATTTGAGGTACTTGGCATTTTTTGTTTCTACTTGGATAGATAGGTCCCTTAAGGTGGAATAACATGATTTTGCATATGAATAAATCACCAACATCCCACAGGGCAAAAATAAAATTGCATCAAAACTATTGATGAGCTGTGTGCTAGTGGCTCATGCCTGTAATTCTAACTACTCAGGAGGCTGAGAGCTGACAATCAAGGTTCAAAGCCAACTTGAGCAAGAAAGTCTGTTAGACTGTTATCTCCAACTAACTACCAAGAAGCAGGAAGTGGAACTGTGGCTCAAATAGTAGAGCAAAAAAGCCCAGAGACAGTGCCTAGGTTCTGAGTTCAAGCCTCAGGACCAGCACACACACACACACACACACACACACACACAATTAAGTATAAAAATTCAGAAACAATGACATATATATTTCAGACATACAGTGTTGCTATTACATGAAGGTAACAAATCTGCTCTTCTGTAATGTAGTTATGACTCATTTTTTACCTGTACATAGCCCAAGAGTGAAGATTAGTCCCAGAAAAGAGAGGCCAGGGTTAGAGATACAACATTCACCTCCAGCTTTATCCCAGAGACCCAGCCTACACAGACACCCAGTCTACCCACTCTTCAGACATTTGTGGATATCTTTGGGGAAGGGGCAGTGTGGGGGGGAAGGAAATCCAAAGTCTTGTAGGTAGGCAGATTGAACAACCCTGGGCACAAGGTTTGACAAATCAGGATTAGTACATGAGACCCGGATTGTTCACTGGGGAATTCACACATGACAGTGGGAAGAAAGGTCCCTTCCAGTGGAACTCAGGGCTCAGGGCAGGGAAGAAATAAGGGCTGGAAGAAAAATAGATGAACTGGACCTCAAGGTCTAGTACAAACCTTGAGCAGGCCAAGGATTCTAAATGGATACCTGGACTTCCATTGATTAGAAATGATGATGAAGGTACATGTCAAAGGGATACTATGGAATATATTTTAGTAGTATTTGACTAGCTTAAGGAGTAACTTTCAAGTAATTGGGCATATGGTATGTGGGCCTCCAATATCACCCCTACACACACACACACACACACGTGCATGCGCGCGCACATGCACATGCACACACAAAAATTTGGGTTTTGGATTTATCTGTTCAACATGTGCTGAATTTAGCCCTCACGCTTGGCACCATTCACTTGTCCAGGAAACATAAAGAAAGGTACAGGTTGGAAGAAGCAATGTCTGGGTCATTATGCTCTGCCTCATGCTTTCTTGGAGCTGTGCCTTTAATGGAGTTTAAGGACATTTGGATGAACTGAAGAAATCATGAAATCAAATCTTTTATTCCATCTCCTTCACCCTCTGTCATCAATAATCCAATAATATTGGATATAACAAGCTGGTGCACTAATATGGGATGTTACCATGCTATATGGGAAATGATCTGTTATACTTCACCCTTATTGTCAAATAAAAATACCTATGTAACAGGTTCTGTGCTCACAGGACTGCACAGGAGACAGGGGGCTTCGGACTATGTTCAATCTATGTTCGTTGTGTATGGAATTTGACGTGTATCCATGATCTGGTATGATGTACAGTTTCAGCTTCAAGAGTCTGCGTTTATACTTCTTAGCTGCCACACTTCACCCCCATCCTTTATGGATAAGAATGTGATAGCAAATAAGCCATGACCTTGGAACAGTATGAGTAACCAGGTAGAGATCTAGAGTTCTGCAGCTATTTTGTTTTGTTTTTAAGGAAATGCAGTTGGACGGCCTTCATAATATATTGGACTGAAAACTAGAGATGCCCATAGGGTTTGAATGAAATATCTGGTTGTGAACAATTCTTTTTGCCTCATGAAATCAGTGCTAGATACTGATCAATTTCATTTCTAAAAAATCTAAATGTTCATCTGATGTTCATCATTGACAATTCTAGCCATTTCCATGTAGAATGGCTTTTTAAAACTTTCATATAGCTCCAATTTTACTTTCTTATATTAAAAAGTAGCTTGGGGCCAGTCATTGGTGGCTAAACCTGTAATCCTAGCTACTTTGGGGAATGAGATCTGGTGATCATGGTTCAAAGCCAGCCTGGG